CTCAGTATATAACTCTTCTGGTGAGATATTGCGCATGCGCTAACACACTAACGTAGCCAGTTTGTGTACTGACTGATATATGCAGCGGGGACATTATATGCAAGGTCTTCTTTCTGTTTCTTAAGTGAGGTCTACTGATGGAATGTTATCATATAAATCTATGCTAGAATAACTCCTCTTCATTTTAAATTTATAATTTTTGCAAAATATTCTTCTTCTAGGGAGATAATACGCATGCGCGAACACCCTTTCAGGCGTGCAGTACGGACTGAAGAAAACTGCATAATATAGCCTGCTGAGAGAGAGGGGTGTACGACTGAGGGAAAGCTGCAGGGAAAATAGCTGAGGGGAGGTAGAAGAAGAGGGAAGCTGAGCGATGGACAAGGGAGCCAAGGGAAAGGTCGTGACAGGATGAAGTAGGAGTTTTGTACACTATAGGCTAGGGCGCTCTCCTAATTATAAACACAGGTCTACTGATAACAATTAATTACATAAATCTATGCTGAGACACCCCGTAAGCATATTAAATGCATGTTAGCTCAGTATATAACTCTTCTGGTGAGATATTGCGCATGCGCTAACACACTAACGTAGCCAGTTTGTGTCCTGACTGATATATGCAGCGGGGACATTATATGCAAGGTCTTATTTCTGTTTCTTCAGTGAGGTCTACTGATGGAATGTTATCGTATAAATCTATGCTAGAATAACTCCTCTTCATTTTAAATTCATGATTTTTGCAAAATATTATTCTACTCGCGAGATATTCCGCATGCACGAGCCCCGTTTCAGGCGTGCAGTACGGACTGGAGAAACCTGCATAATATAGCCTGCTGATAGAGAGAGGTGCGAGACTGGGAAAAAGCGGCAGGGAAAATAGCTGAGGGGCGGTAGAAGAAGAGGGAAGCTGAGCGAGGGACAAGGGAGCCAAGAAGAAGGTCGGGAGGCGGGTGAAGTAAGAGTTTTGTACACTATAGGCTAGGGCGTTCTCCTAATTATAAACACAGGTCTACTGATAACAATTTATTACATGAATCTATGCTGAGATGCCCCGTACGCATATTAAATGCATATTCATCTCAAAATAAAACTGTTCTGGTCAGATATTGCGCATGCACTAACACACTAACGTAGCCAGTTTGTGTACTGACTGATATATGCAGCGGGGACATTATATGCAAGGTCTTCTTTCTGTTTCTTATGTGAGGTCTACTGATGAAATGTTACCATATAAATCTATGCAAGAATAACTCCTCTTCATTTTAAATGCAATATTTCTGCAAAATATTTTTCTTCAAAGGTAGATATTACGCATGCGCGAGCACCGTTTCAGGCGTGCAATACGGACTGGAGAAAACTGCATAATATAGCCTGCTGAGAGAGAGGGGTGAGAGACTAAGGAAAAACTGCAGGGAACATAGCCGAGGGGCGGTAGAAGAAGAGGGAAGCTGAGCGAGGGACAAGGGAGCCAAGGGGAAGGTCGGGAGCGGGTGAAGTAGGAGTTTTGTACATTATAGGCTAGGGCGCGTTCCTAATTATAAACACAGGTCTACTGATAACAATTAATTACCTAGATCTATGCAGAGATACCTCGTAAGCATATTAAATGCATATTCATC